GTATATATATCAAAATACCTCATTTTTGAAAATTTACATAAAGGAAAGAACAGTGTTTAAATATTGGGTGTGTACTAGCATCTTTTCTCTGTTACAGTAGCTGAATACATGAGATGAAATAATATAAATAGAGGAGGCTTATGTACCTCACAGGATGGCAAGTTAAAGGCTCTAAGGACATTTTGGTGACCACAGTCACAGTGGTTGGGAATACACAAGAGACAGAGATCACACAGTGATCGCAGAAGGCAGAAAGAAGCCTGTGTGCAGGCTCAGCCTTAATACAGCATTCTCACTAGAAATTACACAAATGACACCCTCTTAACCTCATTTCACTGCGGACCAAGATGCCAGAACAGCAAGCTTGTAAAGAGAACTATATGTTTGATAGTCAAAGCAAAAGAGAAGGAGCGAAGGGTCTAACAACATTAAGTTGTGGAGTCCAGAGTCCCAATCATCTTAGCAGACTTAAAGGAAATATGAAACATTAAAGTAATGCTCACAGAAACAACTTCACCCTAATGTTACCAGGGCTGCAACGGTATCTAACATAGGAGAAATCCCACCCTGGGGAGAACTGAGGCCTCTTGTCATTCTCAGAAGAAGGAAGAGTTTAGGATTTGGTAGTTTGCTGTTTACACCGACTTTGAAACATAAGTAACACTGACATAAGAGTTGTTTGCACAATTCAGTTTATCTAATTTGCTACAAAAAGGGAACAGTGATTTTTTAAAGTCATGAGTATTGTGTACAATCCAGTAATCCCATCTACTGGAGATGTTAAATCAGGAGGATGACAAGGTTAAGACAACCTTACCAACATAACAAATTTCTCAATACCAGGAATCTTAGTTTCCCTCTCAGAATTAGAAGAGAACATCAGATTCTCTGGAGCTGGAATTGCAGGGTGTTGTGAGCTACCCAGTGTGGCAGCTGACACCTGAACTTGTGTCCTCTGGTGGAGCAGCAGTTCTCTCGACTACGAGTCCTCCCTTGAGTCTCATAGCCCCATTTTTAATGATGCTTACTACATAGTGACACCAGCTGTCAAATGTATAAATGTCTCATGACATGAATTTCCTCTACCTTCAGATGGAAGTCCACATCCTCTGTTCCCAACAAGTCCATCTTCATCTTAGTTCATGCAGTGGCCTCTGTAATACCGACCTGGGCAAATATGTTCATATTGTTGCCCAAGCATCACCACATGTTTTCTACCCAGAGTAAACCTTTGGCAATATCTGGACTGAGGTATCATAATCAAGCACAGAATTCACCTGCTGGTACCTGGTTCATAGAGAGCATCTGTGCTGACAAATATCCTAACTTGACAAACAGAACCCAGAAAAAAAAACCTGTTCTAAAATGTCAGTAGGCTGGTCGTGGAGTCTCTGACACAAAGACACTAAAATGTCTTAATGCATAGACATATGTGTCCTCAGAAAGAACTTTGATTCATGTAAGATATCCATAAGTATGTGTTTTAAAAGTATTTTATTTTTTATTTTATTTTACAGGTATGTTTATACTACTTGCACTCTTAACCACTGAGCCATCTCTCCAGCCCAAGTATGTGGTTTAATCATACATACACACACACACACAAACACACACACATACATACACACTCACACACTAACATTCCACCAGGTCTGAGAGACTGAGGTGTCTACAGTTCCGCAGTATGTGGATAGTAGGTACATACGTGTAGGAAATCAGGATGCCAGGCCCTAGGGTGAGATGAGCCTAAAACTTTTAAGTCCAGACTGCATTCTCTGCTAAAGGGAGGGGCACTGAAAACAGTAGCTCTGATAATCCCTGTACACTGATAATCCCCAGAACACTGCAGACTGGCAGGAGAAAGTGGCCTGGTCATAAGTGTAGGCTCCCTGCTCTGTGGGAAAGCGTCTTGGTCAACAACCCTTAGCTCATCTCCTTGTCCTGAATAAATAACTCAGCTACCCTTGCCTAACAGATTAGGCCAGGTTAAAGGTTTACTCCTGAGCTAAAAACTAAAAGTTTGCCATGCTTTTAGATCTAAAAAAGAAAACATTGTGGCCAATAAATTACCGGGTGGGCATTGATAACCTTGAGTAAAAGTTTAAGAATCCTTCTGGTGCCAACTAACAGACCAAATGTCCTGTTTCTTTGTACGCTAAATCTTCGTATGTGACTGCCATGTCCCACGTGATTGTTAGTTCCTTGGGATGTATAAAAACCATCTGAATTTTAAAATAAATCAGCTTCTTGAGAAGACACAGGTCCCAGGGTCTAAGACTCTGTCGTTGATCAAGTCTCTCTGCCCCGAAGCCAGTAGGTCCCCCGCTGAGCAAAGCAAACCCAAGTCCTGATGCAAACACATTGTTCTGGAAGGGAAAAGGAGCCCTTGTCCATATCCAAAATGAACACGGCATTCAGGGACGTCACGGATGGTATAACCTGGGGGAGCTTTGTCTGTGCCTTGCCTCAAAATCAGGAAGACAAGTTGGGTCAAGATCAATACTGACTCATACATTTCTAGGCTAGGACTCAGGTTTCAGAAGCTGTGGGACACATGGTTGATGAGCAGACACACCTTTGACCGTGTTCTAGATTACAGAGAGGCAGCATTACTAGGGATCAAAATGACACCAATGCTGCTGAGTTCCTCTCTGCTGCTATTTTCAGTTTATGCTGTGGCCTAAATGCTGGAGATGTAATGTGATCAAAGACCTGCATTAATGCTTTTACAAGTTCTTCAGTCATTCTAAGATGCTCTTGTTCCTTTGCTTAAAAAAGGATTCAGCTTGACTATTTCCAAAAGCGTACTTGGAAAATTAGTTGTCTTATAAGGACTAGGTGCAGCCAAATTGGAAGATGTGACACTTTGCCATAGTAAACTTCATAGCAACTTCTTAACCTCTAATCACCATCTGCTGTATAAGGTGCTTCTCTGCTAAGAGTTAAAGGATGCAGTAATTTATGGATATAACAGTAAGTCTTCAGAAATCAATTTAATCAATTTGATTTAACAGAATAATTGCATTACACGCTATACCATGATCTGAAGTCTATATAACCTCAGGGTCTTAGGCCTGATACCAATGCCAGGCATGGGCCTCATATGCTGAAGCAAATCCTAATTCCAATTAGAAAGCAGTAGATCATTCTTATAATATTAATTTCACTATCGTACCACTGGGCATACCTTGCCAGGCTGGTTGTTGTTATATTTCACAGGATTCACAGCTGGCTAAGGTTCATGTTAAATCTTCTCTCCAGGTCAATTGAATAACACCTTACAGTACATTGACAACTAGACAGTACAGGTGAGACTTTAAAGTTGGCACTTGCTTACTTTCTCCTTGCTTGTCCCAAGATATTCTCCCAGAGCTGATAAATACATTCAGCAATGTAGGCAGATATAAAATTATCCCCACACATTAAAATCAGTAACATTTCTATATTCAAACAATAAACCATGTGAGAAATCAGAGAAGCTATCCCATTCATAATAGCTTCAAAAACCATAATATATCTGTGAATAAATCTAGCCAATGAAGTGAAGAACTTACACAATAAAATCTTTAAGGCATTGAGGAAATAATTAAAGAAGACACTAGAAGATGGTAAGACCTCCCGCACTCATGGATCAAGGATTAATATTGTGAAAATGGCCATTCTACCAAAAACAGTCTATAAATACAATGCAATACCATTAAAGTTCCACTAAACCTGTCCTTTCTGAGTCTCTCCGTAACTGGCTTTGCTTCTGTTCTTTCAGGCAGTCCAGGTGGTACAACTTTTAATGAGAGCCTGCTATTTGAACATTCGGGGTTTGAGCGTCCCTTCAGTACCTCACCACATGTTCTGTGATGTTCTCAAGAGAATTCCCTGACATGTCTTTGATCAGCATTGCTCTTCTTGCTAAACATGGTTACCAAAACTGGTCTCAGATGACATCACAAAGCTTAGCAGAGTTTATCTACAATGCTATAACCTGAAACACAGCCAAACATGAATCAGCAACTTAACATGATGAAACCTTTTCCACAATTAACTCATTAGAAGAGCAGTCAGCGTTGAAACTGTGAAGACCTGATACATACAACCTTGCATCATTCATGATGAATTATGCCCACTGAAAGGTTAAACCAGAGTGGATCTTACAAAACTCCACTTCCATAACCTCTCAAAAATGAAATCCCAAATAAAGGACTCAAAGGAAAATCAGAACTGGTATCTCTCTGGTGACGGGGAAGGGAATGACTTACTGGGGAGGAATGACCAGGGAGCAAGTGGAGACATTCCAAGTAATGGATTGCTAATCTTGCTGGGAGACATGTACAAAACTTCCATTAAGTAGGTTGATCATGTGCCTATCTGTATAGTCACATTCAGTTTATGTCCATCACTCACTGTTTCCAGAGAATAAATGTGTAAATATATAGGCAGGAGGGACTGGGATGGAAAACGAGAGGAAAAATCACATACTCTTGGGACACAGAGCGCTGCCGGATCTTATGTAAAGAGTGGAATGCTGCAACTCACAGGTTCTCAATACAGGAAGATGGTTGCAAAACTCAATAGGTAGCTCTACTCAGAGCTTGAATCAGTTCAGCGAGTGTCATGTCCAATGGAGAAAAGACTCTGCAGTGGGGGTTACATATAAATGTGCTTCAGAGGATGTTATGAAGGAATGACCACTTCCCTTTGTAATAGAGGACATGGAGAACTGAGATCCACATGATGCTGAGATACATGTATCCTTACTCCTCTGGAAATGAATAATACACAATCACTGTTTACTAAAGAATAAATGATTTAATCAGAGATCACATATTCCAACCTTTCACATTATTAGAATCCCCCAATACATCTGCGAATGGTTTAGGCTTTGTCAATTCTGGGTCTCCCACCGCAGAGCTTGCTTTATAGCATGAGGAAATGCAAATAGGGCCTCTCCCCGCTCATGAAAATCAGCCCAGCTTGACCTGAAGCTAAAAGAGAAGAGCCCAGCCCTGAATTCCCAGGTGTTCCTAGTCAGTGACCAGCACTGAACACAGACTCACCATGGAGCTGGGGCTGAGCTGGCTTTTCCTTGTTGCTGTCTTAAACGGTAATTTTGGGAGAAGAAGAGATGCTAAGTGTGAGAGTGGACATGAGTGATAGGGACACCGGGCATGTGTGGCAGTTTCCTGATCATATTCTCTGTCTTTGCAGGTGTCCAGTGTGAGGTGAAGCTGGTACAGTCTGGGGGCGGCTTGGTGCAACCTGGAGGGTCCCTGAAACTCTCCTGTGCAATGTCGAAATTCACCTTCAGTAACTATTGGATGAGCTGGTTGCGCCAGACTCCAGGAAAGGGGCTGGAATGGATTGGAAATATTTACCCTGGTGCTGGTATCACAAACTATGCAGACACAATCAAGGGCCGATTCACCATCTCCAGTGACAATTCCAAGAACACCCTGTACCTGCAAATGAGCAGTCTGAGGTCTGAGGACACAGCCACCTATTACTGTGCAAAAGACACAGTGAGGGGACTTCAGTGTGAGCCCAGACATAAATGTCCCTGCAGGACCACTCCTAACCACAGGAAGGAGCTCAGCACATGCTCAGCACAAGTTAAATTTCTGTAACAGGAGCAAACAGCTGAGTATACTTTTGTGTATGGGCTGCCTCTCTATATCATGATTTCATAAGGACCTTACCCACTTATTTAGCTCTATGCTGGGATTTTATCTGGCTTGAGTTTGAGTAGGCCTTTTGTATGCTGTCAAACGTGCTATGAGTTCATAGGAGCAACTGCCTACCTGTCTGGGGAAGAATTTCCTTGTGGTCATTCACTTCTGGCTCTTTCAATCTTTCTGGCCCCTCTTCCACAATGATCTCTGAGACTTGGGAAGCTACATTTGTTACTTATCTTAAGGCCTATTATGTTAATTACTGTCCCCAGATGTCGCTCAATCTACTGGGGTCTATTCAGTCTATCTAGAGTCACTTTAGGAAGATCAGCTTTTCCTCACCCAGCAGTAATCATTTGACAATATTTCTTCTGCTAAGATTGGGGTCAGCTGTCAGTTTCCTCAGTTCTATGCTGGGATATTGTCTGAGTTTGCATGAGTCCTGTGCATGTTGACACCATTGCCATAGAATTATATGAGCAGTTTCCTAGCAGCTTGTAGGACTCTATTTCCACCTGGTCATGCACCTCCTCTCTGTCTCTTACAATCTTTCTGCTCCCCTCTTCTACAATGGTCCCTGAGCCCTTGGTGGATATAGTTTAATATGGGAGTCCTGCCCAAGGACCAGCCTTCTGCAAATGTCATCTCTATACTTTGGCCACTTGTGATCTTTTGTGTTCCTGGCCCTGTGTTGCATGAGGGGACTTCATTAATGAGAACTGAGATATTCATTATTGTCCTCTTTACTCCTTATTCTATATTCTGTGAGTCTTAGGTTCAGAGGTTGCATTGTAGATGTGCCACTTAGTCTTGGGCAATTCACTGCATTTTTTCTCTGCTTCCCCGAAGCTTCCCCCATTCCTATGGTCTCTCATTAGTTTTCAGACCTCTTCAGATTTTCTAACTGAAACATATATATGTAAAGATTCAAAGATTCAAAACATATATATATATAAATATTCAAAGATTCATATATATGTAAAGATTCAAAGATTCAAAACATATATATAAACATTCAAAGATTCATATATGTGTGAAGATTCAAAGCTTTACATTCAAATTCATACACTTAGGAGAGAGAATATACCATCTTTCTTTCTTTCTATCTTTATTTCTTTCTGATTCAGTTTCACTTCCCCCAATTTACTTCTGAATTATACAACATCATTGTTTATAACATCTGTATAATAGTCCCTTGTATGAATATACCTTCATTACCCACCCATCAGATGACAGACGTAAGGAAGTGAAAACAACCTCCTTTCCCCACATCTTTAGTAACATTTGTTCTTATTTGATTTTCGGATTTTAGACATTCTGACTGGGATAAGATTAAATCTCAAAGTAGTTTTAATTTTCACATACAGTGACACTAAATATGTTTAACATTTAAAAAAAATCCCAGCCAATCGGTTTTCACTGTTTGGAAACTAGTTTCTTGCATCAATTTTCAATTGGATTGTTTGTAATTTTTCTGTTGAGTTTAACTCTTTGAATTCTTTGTATGTTTCTGAATACTAACATTAGCTTTCTAGATATTAACACTCTGTCAGAGGTATGGGTGGTGAAGATTTTTCCAGTCAGTAGGTTGTCTCTTCACTTAAACAAAGTGTCCTTTGCTCTAAAGAAGCTTTGTAGTTTCAGGAGATCTTGTTTATTCAATGCTGGACTTAATGCTTGTGCTAAAGGGGATCCTGTTGAGAAAGTAACTTTCCTCTGCTAATTTTTTTTCTAACAGATTCAGGTCATCATGTCTTATGTTGAGGCCCTTGATCCATTTGGAGCTAAGATTATGCTTAGGAGATTAGGATCTATTTTCATTATTCTACATGCAGGTATCCAGTTTGACCACCACCATTTGCTGAACATGATGTCTGTTCTCTAGTGTATGTGTGTTTTGACCCTTTGTTAGGTAGCTATAAGTGCTTAGACTTAAGTATAGGTCCTGAATTCTATTCCCCTGATCAACATGTTGGATTTTATGCAGTACCATGTTGTTTTGATGACTATAACTCTGTAGTAAGGTTGAGATCAGGGATGGTATTGCCTCCAGAATTTCTTTTATTGTTCAGTACTGCTTTGTCTACCCCGGGACTTTTGTGATTCCACATGAAATTTGCCATTGCATTTTCAATTTCCATGAACTATATTTCTGGAATTTTAGAGGGTATTGCATTGTATCTGTAGATTACTTCTGGTTGGATGGTCATTTTCACAATATTAATCCTACTGATCCATGAGCTGCGGAGAGCTTTCAATTTTCTTGAATCTTCTTAATTATTTTCTGCATTGTCTTAAAAATTTTTAAACAGTTATTTCAATTTCTTGAGTCCATTTATTCTAAGATATGTTATGGCTTTTGAGGCTACTGTGAACAGGATTGTCTTCCTGGTTTTGGTCTCAGTATATATGGTGTTGATGTAAAAGAAGGCTACTGATTTTGTATGTTAATTCTTTTACCCTGTTACTTTGCTGAATATGTTTGTCAGCTCTAGAAATTTTCTTCTGAGTTCTTATGTTCTTTAAATGTAAAGTATCAATAATCTGAGAATAGGGAAACTTGGACTTTTCCTCTCAGCTTTTATCGTCTTTTAACTCATTCACTAGTCTTAGTGCTCTAGCTAAACTTCAGGACAATTATGGAACAGGAAGGGAAAGAATGTATGTCACTGTTTCATTCCTAATTTAGTGGAAATTTGTGACTCGTATTCTGTTTAATATGATGTTGGATATGGGTATGCTATATATTGCCTTTATTATACTGAGATATATACCCTATATTCCTAGATGCGACATGATATTTTTTTCATGTTCTTCATGAAGGGATGTTGGATTTTTTTCAACAACCATTTCTGGATCTATTAACAAGGTTTCTGTCCTTCAGTTTATTTGTGTAAATAATTACATTTATTGAAGAACACATGTTGAACCACCCTCAAATCTCTGTGATGAATCCAGCTTTATCATAGTGGTCATCGTTTAACACGCTATTGAATTCTGTTTGCAAGGATTTTATTGAGAAATTTTGTCTCTATGCTCATCAGAGAGAATGGCGTATCATATTCTTTTCTGTTGTTGGATCTTTATCCTATTTTGGTGTCAGGGTAGTACTATATTCATAAAAATGAGATATTCCATACCTTTATATCTTAGAGACTCTTACTTCTATGAAAGAGTATTACTGTTAGTTCTTCTTGAATGTCTGGTAGAATTTCCAGCTTAGTTGAATGTAGGTTTCTAAAGTCTGTTCTTATGATCCTCTGAATTTCTTCAGTGTCTGTTGTAATGATTCCCTTTTCATTTCTGATAGTATTTATTCATTGATAGTCTCTCTCTTAGTTAATTTGACTGCATGTGTCACTTTTTTTTGTTTTTATAGAATGAAATCTACATTTCATTGATTGTATTCTATTTGTTGATTATTTTCATTAATTTTCAGGTGATTTTATTGTCTTGTCTCATCTACTTTTTAGGGGTATTGCTTTTGCTATTTTTCTAAAGACTTCAGAAGCATCATTAATTTATTACTATGAGATGTCACTAATTTTCAGATGTAGGCACTCTGTGCTACAAATTTAAAACTGTGTTCATTATCTTTTATACATTTTGATAGAATATGTTTTCATTATCTGTAAATTCTAGGAATTTTTAAAAATTGTAGCACACAGTGCCTACATCTTTATTATACTGAGATGTATGCCCAATCTTCATTCAGTAGTGAGTTGATTAGTTTCCATGAGTTTGTGTATTTTTTCATTTCTATTGTTTTTGATATCTAGCTTTATTCCTTTGTGGCTAGTTGGATTATAGGATCACATTTCAATTTTCTTGAATTTTTTGAGACTTTCTTTGTTTCCTAACATATGATCTATTAGGAAGAACATTCCATAGACTGCTGAGATTAAAATACATTCTTTGAATGTTGGGTGGAATATACAGGATTTCTCTGCTTATTTTATGTATGGATACCTGTCTATTGGTGACAATACAGGATTGATGTCACCCACTATTACTGTGTTGAAGTCAATCTATGATTTTAAATCCAAGAATGTTTATTTTATCAGATTGGGTGACTATGTTTGTTGTGTATATGCTTAGGATTTGCAATATATTCTTGGTTGATTTTTCCGCTAATAAGGTGAAATGTCTTTATCTCTTATGACTAATCTTAGTTTGAGCTCTATTTTTTCATATATTAGAATGCCTACGCCTTCTTGTTTCTAAGTTATATTTTCTTGGAGTACATTCTTCCATTGTTTTACCCTAAGTAGTTGCAGATCATTGGTGGTTGGATGTGGTTTTTGGAGTCACCAAAAAAATAGATCCCATATTCCAATCCATTCATTTGGTCTGTGCTTTTAATTGGGGGATTTAGACCATTACTACTGAGAGTTATTAATGAGCAATATTTTTATTTAATTTTTATGGTGATCTTGTTTTCTTTTGGTTAGCTGTTCTGGAACCGTTTATATTTCTTAATAATCTCTTGGATATGTTCTGTGCTCTTTGCATATTGAAGTGTTCCATTTAGTACCCTTTGTAGACATGGTTAGTGGACATAAGTTCCTTAAATTTTTTTATAGCATGGAGAGTGTTCCTTTCTCCTATTACAACTTCTAGTGATGTTGGGTATAAGTGCCTGGGTTGATAACTGTTGCTTTTGAGAATTGTATGTTGTCCCTCATTTGTGGATTGTAGCACCAATGCCTTATGTGTCAGTATATTACCTGATGTAACAGTAGGAGCCAGAAAAAAGAAAGCAACCAGGAAGGTAAAAGGAAAGAAAGCCTGGGAGAGTGGGATAGTAGAAAACAGATATTACCAAGGAGGAAGTGGGGAAAATAGGGACATTTAGCTGGGAAGGTGGGGGGGCATACAAGGATTTATGAGGGTAAAGGGGAAGAAATAATTCATGAGAGGTGAGATAAGAGACAGGTATTATCACGGGGAAAATT